GAATTGTCTTGCACAGGTGACAAAAATACTCAAGATCTCCTCCGCCATTTTGTCAATGTGGCCGTACATGGAGTAGTAAATGATCCTGCATTGATGCAACCATTTTTTGCACAGTTGCATACTGTCAATACACGTGTGCATTATGTTGCTTAATTTTCATGCAACATCTTAAACAACATTCGTAGCTTCTAAGCCTAAGCTGTAATTCTTGTATTCCTCGATATTCCTCGCAAGCAACAGGCGTTCAAATCCAAGCAACCAAATAACGAGAAACTCTGCATCAATGCATCGGAACAAAAAAAACATAAAAAAATACCTTTCATCGACTTGATAGGATCGGCTTTGTGGTCGCAGACACTGTTCTGTGGTTCTGGATGTGTCATCGTTTCTTTGCTTTAGCGAGCGGACTTGCACACCAAGCTTATGCCAATATTACTCAAGAAAAATTGAAAATTTAATCCCGCTCAAATGGTGTTAATTACAGGTAATGTAAATTACATTTTAAGTCATGTTATAATGTTATAGAGAGATAAATACAATTGCATTGTCATTATTGAAGACTGCTGACCTGTCTAAAACGGGGACCTCGATGTCTCGATGCTGAGTCGCTTCACCGCGGAGTTTTTTGCAATTGAGTTGCGCTACTGAAGTGCCGGTGGCCTTCCTGAGGGAGAAGACACGCCAAGGCGAAGGTTTCGTGCCGTTTCATGTCGTCTGCAAAGACGGGCTGGCGAACCTGGAAAATAAGGAAAAACATGAATCAGGAGTTCAAAAGGGGTAATTAAGCACTAAGTGTCAAAAACAAGAAAAACAACGACGACGATGACAACAACGCGGTTTTGGCTTGGAACCCCACAATGTGTGGGACATGTTCCTACTTCACCCCATGTGCGTGAAACCGCAAACGAACTCGACACCATGCATGAAACCACCTGGTCTGTCGCCCAAACAAACGGACAGACCGGGTCCAAGACCCGGTACGCGCCCGCGACGCGCCAAAAGCACGACAGCGACGCGGACGTTTCGCCAAAACGACGTGTTTCAGATGAACGTCCTGGTGTCAACAAGAGATCACACGCGTCTCCCACATCCGTGCTGTTTGGGGTGTGTGGCATGATGTTGGACTCTGTGCCATTACAATCATTGGAATGATGACGAGTGTGCTTTTATACAAAGAACAACACAATGAAGCAAGCAGTAAGCAACTTGTGGAACATGTGCGGACAAACAACTTGAAGAATCTAGATTGTAGTGAGAACCGACCAACTCCGCCAACATTGCGAATCCCGCAAACCCAAACGTGTAACATTTCGCGAACCCCGGCAACCCTGCAATCCACCCAATGTTGGTACAAGTAAGTTTACTTTGCTAGGTGAAGCAATTCTATATTTTAGATATGTCTTGCGTTATATATAAAAATACATATTATTCATATAATTCCATATATAGAATCTAGAAGCAATGGAGGAACAGTGTAACGTGTTAGAAGCGCTTGCTATAGCGTTTTGATGTTATGTGATTATATTGCATCCATAACCTACCAGTAAACCCAGCCTATACTATATAACTCTGTGTAGGTCAAGATGTCTCGTAAGGTAGCACGTCGAAGCATTACTTTCGAAGCCGTTTCTTCAGTTCCTCAGGAAAACGAGGAGTTGCAGGATGGTACCGGAGTGTATGAATTCACAGCCAGCAAGCTGGCTGAGGAAATGGTGACCACGTGTTTTAGAAAGCCAAGACTCTTCTCCGCCTTGGGACCGCTCTTCTTCCCCAAAGAAGCCTTCAGAATGCTCTTCTTCGCATCGTCCAAATCTGAGTGACAACAAACCAGCACATGGCCGTGAACCGTTCTCGGCACCTCTTGGCTGTGTAGTCTCACAAGCGACAAGTACATACAAAACCCAAGTTGTGATATTGACAAATCATCAAAATTGGTTTGGCTTGTTTCTCTCTTCTCCAGGACCCAATCTATATAAATTGCTTTCGCCCGGGCTCTCTCCATGGCCCTCTGCAAGTCCTCTTCCGTGGCATTCTTGATCTGGGCAGGCCAAAATATGTTGGACAAAAGAAAGCACGGTTCGATCCTAAATTCGACAAACTCTTGGGAAGCATATTAGACGGATCATTTTTGGCTTCAACAACAACCTTATGATCCATACTAGAACCCGGCGGTACTTCTCCTTTCAGTACCATCCCTGATCTGGTCCTTGTATATCTGACTCACTCAGTTTCCCTGGAATAATAAAGGTGAACATCTATTCCACGCGTTCGTTTTTGATGGGAAACCAATCCCCAAATAAGGTTAATGGTTATCAGTTATCCACTGACTGGGTAGGATATGGTGTGGACTACAACCATGGCCTTAAGCGGATCGTGGCCATGCTTATCATAGCTAATTGGTGCACGGTTTGGAGCAAGGACAAGGACGCTACTAGGGGCTCCTGGCCTTACTACTAGGAGCAAGGAAGCTACTATAGGAGCAAAGAGCATCGCTACTAGGAACAAGGACACTTTTCTTCTTAAACTAAAATGTCCTTCTCCACCCCGTCCTAGCGGCGTTTTGGATCAAGTCCCCGGAAGGCTGGCACTGTCCCATGGTCTGGTTGGAGTGGAAGCGGAAGCGGTGCTGCACGGTGTAAGAGCTTGAGCCAAGGAAAGCTGGACACTAGAAAGGTCACCAAACTCCATTTATAGCCTCTATAACTCTTGCTCCCTCCTCTGGAGGGTTGGTTGGACGTGCAACATTTGAGCACAACAACAGCTGTGCTAAAGCCAAATCTTCTAATGATGACTCAAGAAAGGCTAAGGAACTCTGCGCAAGTTGGAGTGCCGTGACACAGGGCATTGCAGAAACCTACAGGTTTGAAATATGTTTTATGAAACAAATTGTCAACTGTACACTGTGTGAAGCGAACAAACTATCTAAATTAAGTTTGAGTATCAAAGTACAGTATGTTTTTGTTTAGTCTATTGCACAGGGATATTTAATAAGTAGGTTATACGTATCCTAAATTGTCCTGCTCCGGACTCGTCATCATCGGCTTTTTCGGCTTGGACAGTCGACGATGCAGGTTTCTTGCCACAGTGCAGCCCAAGAACGGAGGCAAAACTCGGGCCTCGTTATGGGCAGCATGGCCTTTGCTCGGGTCTATTTCAAGAAATAGGATAACCTGGTGAAGGATCAACCATGCAAAAGGTACAGTTTCTACAGAACTAATATATAGAAAGAAACAGGTATCATATAAATATGTGTATATATATAATTGATTATAATTGTATGTGTATATATATATAGTTATCTATACACACATTCTGTAGTGAAACATGGCTATGTGAGCCTACACCCTAGCAGGAGCTGACTCGATTGCGTGCCAGGTCCACTAAGGATAGTGATAGGGCTTTAACGTACGGAATGAAGCGAGCCAGGAATTTCACTTGGGATTTGCTGCGTCTCTCTATAGTGGATCTGACAGCTGGCACAGGGAGGCCTGGGTTGGTCAAAACATGGCATGTTGATGTTCAAACTCAGTAACTCCTTACATGCACAATGACCATGAGGATCGAGAAACCTATGTGCTGAGGGACTCTGCTAGGACCGCCACCGCCTAGCTATACATGACCAAGTAGGACATGTGGCAATATTGATCAATCTTGTCATTCAGTTGGACACTTAAGGTACTGTATATTGTTAAGATATGTTGTTATCGTTGTGAAGCTGTTTTAAATAGAGGTTCAGGTCGTTGATTCAGGGTTAAGGTATGGGGTCAATTGAGTTGTTGTGCAAAGGCCATGCATTGGCAGGTGACTCAGAAGATCGGAGTTTGCAGCTTAGGCGATCATGTTTCAAGACTGACAGATTGATGCCGTATAGAAAGCAACCTACAACTCGCATGCATGAACCAACTGAGCCCCAGAAAGCTGAGGAGAAGGGTGCAAACGAAGAATTAGCTTTCAAAAAGAGGCATGTAAAAGAAAAGTAGATACCAGTCAACATTGGTTGTCAGGTAATTATCAACATCATTGCAAATCCCATAGCTATAACCCAAGAAAGTACCCAACAAATAATGACAATATTCTTTGTATATTCTATATATTGCTGTTTGTTGGTGACCCGTTTTGGGACGTGATCCATCAAAGGGACGCTTAAAAGCAAATCAGGCTCTTGCACAGCCACAATAATACAGCTGCCAAAAACATCTATCCTGGGCCTCAAGCTGGCAGGAGCTGGCAGGACAAGCTGCTGCGAACGGGAAAGTCTATATTTTTGAGACAAAAGACATGCTACGCACATGATTCTTATCACTCTTGTATCGTGCGGATGGTCCACCAGTTCTTCCCACAACCAAAGCCGAAGTGCGAGGAGCTTGACCAAATAAAACAACATAAAACAACCACATGAGTGACATGAGTACTGGGAAACTCCTTTTGGATTGAGGCGCCATTCGAGCATGAAATCGCTCTAGGCCAGGGACCAATCTGCGCCCAATTGTACATAATTGGCCGGCCTACAGGGAGTGAATACACCCCTTTTATCTTGTCTTGTTGAACAAAGCCACAAGGCGCTAAGAACAACAAATGGATCTACATCCTGACGTTCGAACGTTCACTCCCTTTTTAGGCACCACCGAGCGGTGGGCGGTTGCTCCGTGGTGGAGCCAGAATTTGACATATATGCTATCAACTCACAAGCCAGTGATGCACCCAAGACTCAAGAGCTTCATATAAGACTCCAATATATTCACACAAAACCACAATAGCTTTTGTTGCCAGCACTTGAAAAAAGAATTGGCTGGGTGCGACATTGGCTGCGAGATGTTCTTCATGCGCGTGGCGCAATCCATCGTTTATCCAGGATACGACACGCACCACCCAGCCCTGGTGGAATCTCCCCCTGAGCCCAAAACCTTCCCAACTCATGATACTGAAAGGAGTCCCACCGAGCCTTTCGGCAAATAGGGGAAATCCTGGGGCGGTTTTTTTAGGATGACGGGCCTCGGAGCCTAAACGGCCATCTGCTTCACTTTGGCTGCAAAGGCCTTGCCATGTGCGGCTGCCTCAGGGTCAAAAGAGCCATAGCGGCAGTATACAGAAAAGAGTCAATACAGGCTGAAGCTTGCATTGGGCAATGTATAGAAAGCAGTTAGAAAACACCCACAATTATTAATTAGTCTCTAACATTCTCAGTGTATCTCAGCGTGGAACAACAATGAACAACAGAAGCAAATGCATTTGGTGTGCTTGTCTGTAATGATGATCTGTTCAACTCCATTGCCTTTGGTCACAGCCTGAACGTCAAAATCGAAGAGTCCGAGCCAAGGGTTTTGTCCTTCCCTCCGAGACAGGTGGTTTGTGAAGGGTTTGTCATGACTTGAGCATTCAAGACTCCAGGTATTAGGCTAAGGGGAACAGTTTCCCTATCTCTCCGTCCGTACACTACCCAGTCACTACCCGGACCCGGACAGGGCCTTAAGGAGCCTTTAAGCTCGTTGCTTGGCGGGTTGAAGTGGGTTGCCCCATAAAAACAACATTTGGACACTTGGTGATGTGTAATATTCCTATGTTTTCCCTCATTTGCGCTCGTGTGGCTCCGACGCAGCGATGGCTCGTGCGAACGTGGTTTTGGAACGTGGGTTGCTGCGGACGATGGAACGACCTTTCGGTGGCGGGAATGTTGGATGGCTTAGGGTGAGAGTCGGTGAGAGTCATGAACTACAGCAAACTGTACGCAACTATGACCAGGAATCATGTGCTTGCTTGCTTGCTCTCTCTCTCTCTCTGCATCTCCACACCAAGCTAGCCTTCTACAAGGTTGCACTCAAGGCAATTGGCTTCTGTGCCAAGTAACAATCTTGAGCTCCGTCTCTGAAGGCTGTCGGGCACCTGTTGACCCGACAGCGGCTGGATGCAAACCCGCTCAACACAAAAGCAAGCTCCCAACGTCGCAACAAAAGTCTGATTGGAGTAGGTCCTCATGTCAATGTCTGTATGAGTATGTGTTGGTTAAAAGGCAATTCCTTGGCAGTTGCTTGCTGGAAAAAGGATAGCAACACTGGAGGCAACTTTGGTTGAGTGCATTGTATTTCATTGCACTATGGTTGCCTCTGGCCGGCTTTGATATGCATCTCAATCAAGTCTGCAGATATTCAGGGAATGGTTTGTATCAATTCTGGCATAAGTTCTCCCCATGTTGAGAACGGAACACAGGATATTATGTTGGTTGAGAGTGGCTGACTTTCCAGCTGATCTTCGTACCTTCAAACAGTCCACTGACCATGTTGACTCGAGTCTCTTCTCAAGTCAAGTTCATGGGCCACCAAGCCAACTCCACATCTGGGCATTTGTCAGAATAGTCTAGAGAAAACGTCATACCCTGCAACACGATTCATTTTAGAGGAAACCGTTGTCTTTTCGGCCAATCTGTCTTTTCAGGTGTGGCCGCCTGTGGCTCCGGCATAGGTGCTAGCACCCCAAGGGCTTCCACCGTGTAGCTCCTCCCAAAAGTCAACTGGCTAAGGGAGCAAGAAAGTCACAAGCGTCATGTGAGTGTAGGGTAAGAAGGCATGATGTGCGATGTGTTGTGTGTTATTGATCTTCTGTTCTCTCCGAAGGGACTATGGGTCAAGCTGCTGTTCTTGGGCTTCGTTGACTGCAATCAAGACATCCGTGCGCTGCTCCATTCATCGACCAAAGGCTAAGGCCATCTAAAACCAAGTCCAAATGAACCATGTTCTCTTGTGGGATGTCCGAAACCAGAACAACATATGTATATATATATATCTAAATATATATATATAGCATTATTAGATATAATGATTATATATATGGTGGTTGATCAATATGCTTTCATCCTGGAATGGCCATTCATCGCGGAAAAAAGATATCTTTCGTGGATCTTTCGCGGCCTCATCGCGAAGCATGGTCCTACAACCATGTCTAGCTAACATGAGCCGGAACATGCCATAGTATCACAAACTAGGGAGAGACATCTTGCAGCATGACCCCAGTAGATGGTTGAACGTTTCCACAGCTACTCAGGGTCACTTGCGGCATCTGTGCGACAATTGTGCCAAATATAAGTCAGGCACAACTCAACCCAATCTTCGTGTCAGCTACCAACACAGGGCGACAGCTTGGGGAATGTTGGGGGGGCCTCACGCTGGGAACCTAGACTTTAGCGGCACATTCGCGAAACTTTCGCGGATCTTTCGCGAAATTTCACTGGAAGCCGTAAAATTAGCAAACATCTGCACAGCCCGTCAAAGCAGCTGCAGGTCGTTGCCTCACTGTCAGGGCTGTGCCTACCCAGATTGCTAGTCTGTGACAGTGGGGACAGGAATCGGAGAATCCTTTACGCACTGCCAGGGCTGGGCACGGAAATGTTGAGGCTTCAGTTCGTTAGTCTGTGACACACGGGGACACTTCCGCCCACTGGCTCTGCCGCAGGATTGCCTTGCGTTTCTATTCTTTGTCAGTCCGGTAGAAAGGAAAACAATGAAAGCAATGACCTTCGATAAATCTTTCGCGGAAAAAAAAAGATACTTTCGCGAACCTCATCGCGAATCTTTCGCGGATGGTTCTAACAACATCTGAAAGGCTGTTTTATATAAAACTCCTTACACGGGGTTTTCGATCAACTCCCATATAGAGGGATATAGAGGGAGAGACTGAGGGAGAGAGAGACATGTCAATGGCTTATGTGTTTGACATTGAGGCCTGATCTTGGTTGATTGGCCTGGCCTGTTGTAATCCAATAGACCACTTGGGGAATGCTCTGCATCCATCAACTATGGAAAGACCTTGTTTAGTGGGTGGGACAAGTTATCAACGCGCAGCTCCTCCATGCTCAAAAGGCTGGGATCACCATATCCGAAAGGCACCTTGGGACAACCCTCTGCCCGGTGCCAAAGCTTTTGTAGTGAACACGGAGATGAACAAATGTTTACCTTAAACTGTACTAGCAACAAGGGCATTACTACTAGTAACAAGGGCAGTACATGTGTACTGTAAACAACACGATAAACACCATTGGAAGAACCACCGTTGGACAAATCCTCATCCCGAAACCTGTCTGTAAATGTTCTGTTCTCACAAAACCCTCCAGCATTTCATCCAAGCTGCGTAGATCATACCGTGATGGACAAAGTTCGTGAGGTGTGTGAGATGGGTCGTCTCCTGGGACAACGCCAAGGGAGAGACAATGGATGATTCACGGTGGTTCTGGGTTTATAGCTTAAGTCATCTCAATTTAAGGTACCAGGCCCAAACCTGGTAGTTGACAACTGCACGGATTGATTTCAACAGCAGCTTCAAGAAAACTGACCTACACATTACACCCTCTTATCTTCGGTCAAGCTTTGCATCCACACGGCACCAGCGTTGGCCTCCAAACACACAAAGGACCAACAATCATCATCCAACATGGCACCATGTCGCTGAGCGCCGAAGGCAACAACACCGCCAGCCTTCATTGGCCATCCGGCCACCCCTCGGCATCCAATGGAGTGAGATTCCGAAGGCCGTCCTGGCCGCCCTGCGGGGTACCAGTGCTCACAAAGGAGCTGGCCAACTTCCCAACCAGCTTGCCACCTGACGCGGGCGAAGGGGTCTCGCAATGGTGGCTCAACTTCTACACTCTGAAAGTCCAGCATGAACCTACAAAAAAAAACGGGGGGCCATTCCACCGAAACGGGGGGGCTCCACCGCGACCAGATCTGACAGGCTCACACTGGCTGCGGTCTCGACCGCTGCGGCGCCAAACGATGATGCTCAGCGCCTTGCCAGAGTCCACCAGTGGAATCCCAGAAGTTCTTGATCTGTGCCGCAGGCTGCCCAAAGCGTGTCGGAAGCCCCATCATGATGCCATCGAGTTCCACAAGCTCCCTTGGCTGATTTGAGATGCTGGGAGGGCTCGACCAGAACTTGACTACTTCGATCTACTTCGTGCTGTGTGAGACACAAACCTATCACACGAGGCAAAATAGGCAAACCCATGGGTTGAAGTGGAGTACTGCACAATGGTCCCATTCTACTCCGAAACCACTGTATGGCGGCATGGATCCTCAGTTCACCATGGGCGAATCACAAAAATTGTCTGCCAGGCATCCATATTTTGGAGAGCGGACAACAGGTCCAGCAAGCTTGAACACACTGCACGAGGAAGCAAATCGGGGACCCTCGCTCCCAGTATCCCAAAGTTAAGAAGATTGCAAGATCCCGTGTTTCTGCTGGTTGCGGAACAAAAGAACACCCCCTTCTTGTCGACTGATTCCGCTGCTACGAGTGGCTGGAAGCAAAATGATGATTGGCTGATTGATGCCACCACTCGCCAAGTCTCCCATGTCTCCCCCAAAAAGTCACTGATGACAACTGTTCATTTCCGGTGTCCTCCCATGTCTCCTTCCAGCACCTTGACACCGCGCATCCGCACGCGTCCGCCGTGGCATGACCCGGTTTCTCTGAGCTGCTCGATGTTCGCATGCTCGAGGACCTTGTCGTCGGACTTCGGAGGAGCACCCATCGCCGTCAACACGCCTGGCTACCAGCCGCTCGGTGGGAGCAGGGAGCGGATCGCGAGCGTGAGCGGATCGATCGCCACGGCGCCTTCGGCCAAGGTCTCCTTCACTTGGTATTTCAGCACCTGAGCGGGTGAAGTTGTGTCCCTTGAGGTAGTGACGGATGAAGTGGGATGCAAAAGAGAGTGAGAGTCTTAAAGCCAAACCTAGTATGGATAGCAGGCACACATAGTAGGCAAAGTATCTTCGCAAAATTAACAAACTCGAGTTGACATCGTCAAGTAGAAACCGGTCTCACAATAAAGGCAACTTGGAAAAACACATCAATTCGGGGGACATGTCTGGAACTATGGGCTATTGGGGGGTATGGTGGCTGTCCTACCAACAATCCTAGCATCGGTAGGGAAACGACAACCAGTTTATTGGCCGTGGGGCTCCCCAACTTGCAGGAGTATTGCTCGTTAAGGTTTCAGTGCAACCATTGCAAGAATTCAATGGGGCCAGAAATTCCATGTGTCTAACAATCTAATACATAGACAGACCGGAAACGATTACTCCACCGCTTCGGTAGCCATTTATCGCCTGCAACGCTTCTCAAGATCATCCAATCCTGTCGCGTCGGTCCTCCAATTCTGCGACAAGTCTGCCCAAAACTGGTCACCGGTCACCGAATGGTCACCGATTTCACCAGTTTGCGCTGTCACCCTGGAGCTCATGGCTTTACCCTTGTTGTTTGACCATGCCGCGCCTCAACACCCTCAGCCTCCATGCCCTTGGCAATCCTGGGTGTGCGACGCAGAGGTGAAGCAAAGGTGTAAATGGGTCACAAAACATGACAACCTTCTATACAGAGTACCAGTATTGCTTTTGTCTCAGCGACGGGATTTGAGAAAATGATGGGATTTGCTCAGGACATCTTTTCTGTGGAGTGGTCTCAAAATGTCTCGAGTCCAACGACATGACGGATGGGGGCGGTCCACAAAGGAGACGTGGTCTCAGCGGTCCGCAAAGGCCATCAAAACGATCGTTTTGGTCAAGATGGAGAGGACATGTGAGGTTAGTGCATCCTGGATCATCCTGGTGGGAAGCTTCCCTTCTCGTCAAGGCCCAGGAATGTTTCTCGAGATTCTATGAACTTGACCATGCAAAGAGCAGTGAGAACATAGAGACCATACCAATCCCTGTGTGGGGGCAAACAGAATACATGATGTTACAGGGGCCGAACCCCTCGGTGGATCCCATCCGCCAAGCGCGTAGCCCGGCGTTCGGTCCAAGGATCTCATCCGCCATGGTCTTGATGTGACCATAGGTGGAATAGTAGATGATACCAACCTGCTCGGCTTCGGCGCTCACCGCGACTCATTCGACATGACGGCGCTCAACACGTCTGTTCTCCCCGTGATTGCGAGGACCGCGCAAAGCACGAAGACCACCCGTCACCAACGACCAAATCCGGTGTAATCCTGCTTGGTTCAAAGAGCGCCTGAGGCTCAGTTGATCATTACAGTTGATGAACAACGTCCAATACATAAAATTTTCCGCACGACAACCGGTGAATCAAATTGTGTTAAGTTATGTTAAGTTTATAGTACCTTAGGACTTAGGACCTCAGTTTGAGAGTGTCGCACTTCTTGTAGGACATGACTAATTAATGATAAATTTCCCATGGCATTCTCGCGGGGATGAATTCTCCAGAACAACGATCCTCATCGATCGCTCCGTGCCAGGATCATTCCAGTTCTGAGTGAATCAAACGAAACAAACACCCAGCCAACCAGCAAACCCCACTGCACGAAAGCATGTAAACGCAATCATGTTGGATGTTGAATAGTAAGCAGTCTCCCCCTCCAGCAAACAACTGAGGATGAGTGAATCCAAACAGGCCCAACAAAAGTAATCAAAACTCAAAGGCGGTGGTAGAGGTGATTGTTTTGGTGGTGGATAAATTAGACTCTATAGACTAAATCAATAAACACATCTGATTAACCAAAAAAGCACTCCGAGTGAACAAAGCTGTTATTCTTCCCAACCTCATGAACTATTCACTATTCAGGGTTGGGATCATGTTCGGGAAGATTGTTGATTATTCTCTCACACTTGACTACTTGGGATGGAACATTGCTAGCATTCCTAGTCACTGTAGACTATATATTATATATAAAGTAGAAGTACCGAATTACTTCATATAGTCATAGTACATGTCTAAACAAATTTAGCCACTTGTCTCGTCACTTAGTCTCTAGTTCTCAGCTGTCACTGGGTCTATCCTTGTCTTAGCTGTCCTTCCGCACCCGCGCCTTGCATTTCCGCGTCACCGGCTCGGACTTGGTCCTCTTCACCGCCTCTGCGAACCTCAGGGCACCGGTCGTCCGCCGCGTGCCGTTCGAAGTGGCGGTCTCACTGACGGTCTACTAGACCTCTCAACGATGATCATTTTATGTGATAGTCAGTCAAGAAAACCAAAGAAGTGCCGAACAATACATTTAAAAAAATTGTTTTGGTGGGTCGTGATACATCCTCACAGCCATGCAGCGGTGTTGGGATACCTATGGGCCCCAGTATGGTGTCACAAACGACTATATATAAAAATAGATGGGCCGATGGGTCCCAGTCCACCAGTCACTGCCAAATTCAGAACCATGTGCCACCGGTTGAAGTTGGAGAAGTAAATGAAACAGTGTTCCAGGATGGGGTCACAGTGTTGACGAATGAAATCAAGCACCAGCTAGCAACAACGCGAATCCCACCTTACATTGGTATGTACCCTGGATCCGCTACTGTAATTAATCCCCGATGGGGGTTTGCCCGGGCGAGCAGGACTTCCATCACCAATCTCTGCCACTTGGCCCTCCAACGACTCCACGACCCGTCAAGATACTTCTCTCCTTGCAGGTTGGCCATCTGTAGCTCCATGTCCGAGGGCTTTCGGCTGCCATCTCCACCAGCCAGGGTGCTGGCACCCCAAGGGCTGCAGCCATGGATCTGGCACCCAGAAAGCACGGTGTCTTTCACTTCTAGTGATGTTGTAATTAAGAAAAAATTAAGCGGCTTCCGAGTAGATTGCACAGCGTAAATCGGAAACGCTCTTTGTAATATATGTCTCTATGTAGCCTCATCTGCAAGATCATTATATATTAATATATACATATATATATATATTATACATACAGGGTCCAGTCGCTTTGCGCCATCTACCCGAACAATTTTCGGGAATGGGTCCGTCAAACCCAATGATTGGGTATTGGTGTTGCTCTTCAATTAGCTCTTTGGTTACATCGGTTACGGTCCGCTTTCCGCCAAGCACTGACGTTCACCGATTCGGAGCCCAAGACCCACCGTTGCGAAGAGACACCAAGGCGTGTAAAAGCCATGCTGCATTCAGTTCGACCCTCCAAGGTGAATCCAGCTTTCGACTCTCCAAGCGTTTTTGTTGCGGGGCAGTTGGTTCACATGCCGCTCATATGCCTTGAAGCTCTGTGTTGCCTGCCGAACCAAACAAGCCGCCCTGTGACAGGTCAAGACGATCTGTGATCAATGATCAACAAAACCACTATCTCTGACTCTACTGGCGACGAACGGATCCAAGGGACCAGTTTCTCGAAACGGCTGAACACGGGACAGGGACATTTGCTTATCTAAACATGTCTAAACTCATGGGTCGCTTCTGAAACGGATGACTCGGATGACAATGAAGAAATCCATCGGAATCGCAGTAGTACTTACTACCGAAATTAGGGTGAAGGTGAGTGAAGGTTGCAGCCACGCGTTTCTTTATGTTTCTTTGATAGTAAAATGTCCAACAATTTGTGCAATGAAGTTACCAACGTCGGAACTTGGTAGATGTGTGTATGTCAATCAATCTCAACGTCTACTTGTGATCACCGTAATTCCATGTACCGAGCTCCACGGTCAAGAACCTCGTCCTCGATCGCCTGAAAAGAACCTATCATTTAGTGAAAGGAGGAGGAGGAGGTGGTGCATGAGGTCTCTCCGGAACAGAACATGTGTTTCATTTGTGTTTTCTTAGCGATCAAGTGAGCAGCGTTCTTTTGTTATGTGGAGTGTTGTCATTTGTCGGTGCCTACGGTGGGAGCCTACGCGTGCTTACGCCACCACAGTGTTTACCTACACGAGACAGTGCTGGTTGAAGCATGTCTACGCGAAGCATACGCGATGCAGCTTTTGTGTTGCTAATGTGTTTTTGCCCAGGCTGCCATTGGGTTTCACTCTTCTGTGCTTGTGGTCTACTCGCTGCCTGAACTCAACTACTGCCACTACGACTACGACTACGACGACTACCACTACTACTGCCACCGGTAAGAAGACGTGTGTTCATTCCATGTTTTTACCAGCAAGGTGCAAGGCAAGACTTGTCAGCCGAAAGACAGTTGTGCGGAGACGTGGGGTATATTGCACAAATGGGAGGTCCGCCTACGCAGTGTGTACGCGAAGCCTACGCGAGGCCTACGCGACAAAACACGTATTTCATCGTATTTCCACCATTGCCGCTATTGGTAAGAATGGCTTTGTCACAGCAATTTCACGCACTATCTGCATCGTTTGTTTGCATGTGTGCAGTGTCGGGATCTTGTTCCTTGCCGGCCATTAGCAAAACACCGAAACCATGAGACGCAACACATTCAAGCAATCAAACTGTATGAAAAGGGGTACCTACGCAAGGAACCTACGCGAAGACATTCCCCAACAATGCCTACGCGAGCCTACGCCCCCAAGCGAATTTGCTTACGCGAACAAACCACAGGACAACCTCCATATAATTCCTTTCATGTACAAAATAAACTCAGCTCAAGCGTTGCTGATACAGTAGCCGACCCTTCGCTGTGAGATCTCGCCATCGCCTCGTCTACGGAGAACATGGGTCCTCCTCCTTGATATCCAAAGGGCACGAAGGGCATGCCGTGATGGACCAGGCCTCAAGTGGCACATCCGATGGCACTTGCAAACTGGGCTGGCTGGAGGGGCTCTCAAGTAGACAGAATATGAATATGGAGCAGTCAAGGCTTTCCATGGCTTCCCCATGTTCCTAGTGGTTTTGCATGTTACATGCTCTATCTTCCTGAGGATGACAATACAATGGTTTATAAACTGTATACCCTATAGACTATAGACTATAATTGATCATTCTGAGATCATGATCAAATGCGCTGCTTTTCTTTGTTGTGTGGCTTAAACTTCGACTAAATCATTGATCCATTTTTGTCACCAAAGAATAATGTTCTTCACCAAACTAAGGAATTCTACACACTTTAGAGAATTCAGGCTTTCCTGTCCTGGGGGGGAGGAAGGAAATCTCTGTAAATCCCTCTAGTTTGCCATTGCAAGGCAACCCAAATGGTTCTTGCAATGACTCTCTGTCTCACCAACAGCGAAGATCCCGACTGCTCATCCCATCTATGTCATCAAAGAAGAAAATGGTTCGAACTATTTCCTAAAAGAAAGTTATTTACTTGCAACCCACGGCCACTGAGTGCTTCTCCTTGCCCTTCCAATCCAAAAGGCAGGAGATGGTCTGCATGTGCGTGACCTCTTGTCCACCATTCTGTGTTCCCGTGGATACGAAGGTGGCTGCCGGCTTTCCCGACATGGACTGCTTCATCCAGTGTGCGCCAGTCATGTCGAAGAAAGCCTTCCTTGCGGAAACCGGGGATATGGCTGGGTGAATACATTCATGACGAAACTGACAAATTGAAGTACAACCTGGGTATAAACGGTATAACATGGTATAACTATAACGTTATGATATGAATGTCGATTCATACAACGTTGCTCCGCATCATTGGCGGTTGAAGGCCAAACATAAACAGGTTCGATTTGCTTCTCCTTGCGACGCGCGAGAATCGCGTCAATGGTTCTTCACAATCGTCTATCTAAATGAAGCTTGAAAGTCTAAGCTGGCCCTCAATAATGGCTCCTGTAAATCAATTTGTTCTGCTCTACAATGAACTGGGTTGAACCTATCAATCAATCACATGGACTGAACCGCATAAACTTGCTGTGCTGTATAGAATCACGTTGGAGAATTGAATGGAACCCAATCTACTGGGTATGCACAACATAGGCTACAATCATGTGTATAAATGCTTTTGTCATTGATTCAAACAAGGAGGCAAACCACCAAGCCAAAAAATGCCAGTTGAAGGGATGTCATTCAATGTGCTTCATCTGCCTCATGAAATGGAAGATCTCGGCTAGATCTGCACTTATAGTTTAGATTCGAGGTGGCAGCAAGTGTGTAGGTTCGAGAACCCACCCACCTAGCATCAGGTCGGTCTGACCTAGTGCCAGGTGGCAGCAAGTCCTTTCACACCAAGCATCATCTGAGCAGACATGACGCCAAAGCGGGTTGGAATGCCAAACATGAATCCATCATACTCCTTAGATTCATTGGCACAAAGGCGCCAAAACGCCAACAAAAACTCCTGTCGTAGTCGTCGTAGTTCAAACACTGTGGACCACAGTGGGTGAGTCGTGGCAGGCCAAGGCCAAGGCGAAGGTTTCAGCGCCGGCCCGTGAAGCCCCAGGAGCCCCTCATGTGGCCCAAGGAACCCACGGTCGGCCCACAGGTTAAGCCACCTGGTAAAGGAGCCCCCTTCGATTCCCAAAACACTTAAAAGGGGGTTCTATCATGCTCCATCTCTGTCTGTAAGCTGGTCATTTCTGCATCTTTAGGCAATAAACAATTATTAAACACATACAAAAACACTGTAAAACAATTAAACACAACTTCTCTGTCCTATCTGTTTGCTTTTCGCTCAAGTGTCTTCTAAGCCCCCGAAAACGATTTTCTCACTTCGAGTAACATTGAGCTTTCCGACCATCTCGAAGTCCAACGTGGGGATGTCCGCATTCTTTGGTGGAGCACCCATCTTCGCGAGAACCTGTTTTAGGCAGAAAATACATTTCCAATACCCTTCAATATATGATATTATCAAAAACGTTATACAATAAAATACAATATATCAATATGCACATCAAATTCATCACTGCATGAACATCAATTCAATGCCTTCTCAGGGGGATTCCGAAAGCAGCGATTCAATATGGCCACGTGCGATTTCATCTCAAAACCCACCGCTCTCTGCGACCACGGTGGGTTCTTCGACTGTGGTGACCCGGGCGATTTCAGCAACCCGTTCTCGATCGTATCAAAACCCACCCGCCTCATCCTCGAGGGTTTCTGGCACCTGGAACAAGTCCACTGAGACGCCTCCCTTCTCCAAGCCTGGAACCGCCGTGTGGATTGGTGCATCGATGAAGGTGGACTGGAGAAGCTGAGAAGTTCTGAGGGTAGATGTGTGCAATTACAATCGTCCTCTGAACCTACTGTGCCATTCATCCACTTGGTTGAAATCAGCAACACAACCCCCTGGATCTAGTCCAGATAGTAGTGCGCACGTTCCTTTATGTTCAACTTCTCATTCAACTTAAGTTCTTATATAAATCCCAATGACTCGCAAATCCAAGGCGGTGCCTTGAAACCACGCAACCAGTTGTCTGAGTCGCTTTGTCCATATTTGTCCCGTTTTTGGTGGAGCTGCTTATTTGTTGGACCAACAGCAATCAGCCAGTCCCTTTGCCCAACCCTGAAAGTCCTGGATTGCTGGACAAAAAAATGATCCATCAGGATTAGGATCCACTGTCTCTTTTTGTTGGGCTCTCAACAAGAGGTTGTGGCGTCAAACATGGGTTTGACTACAGGCTGTCCTCCAATCACTACAGGCTGCCCGAACCATACCAATCTCTGATTCGTTCAAAAAGCGCTCAGGATGGGCCTTTCTGGATCTCCTGAACCACGACAGTGACCAAGGGCCCACTGTCGACCGGGTGGTCTGGGGGTGGTCTGGGTTTTTACAAGCCTCGACCGGTCCTTAAATGTCAAACCCCTATGAAATACTATGAACAGTGCCATGACACGTCTTAGTTTCAGGCAAGGCGTTTTGCATTTTGTGTATATATGCATCCTGGTTTCATCTGTGCAGCATTCTGCCGCACCTGATGCAATATGTGGCTTTGTGATAAGTGAAGTGTAACAAAGTGCGGAGAAGGGTCCTACATGCCTACATGGCTACTCAACCGCCCCCGGAACACACGAACCAAACGGAACAGCTGTCTCAGCTATAAAATACAATGGACCACATCATTGGGCAAACTACGAATAACTGGTACTGTTAATATAACTGTTTAACAACATAGGGTGTGAAAAACAACATGCACTTCAACTTCAGGTGTAAGCTTCCCTTGATAGCTTACGTTGTTTTGATGGTTTGGCGTTTTGATTTTATTGTCTTCCGATGGAAGCACATTGAAAGCACAGTTGGTCGTACTATGTCGCACCAGCGCGCGTGACCGACTCGTCGTCTCCTTTGCCATGCCCTCGATGTGGCCGTACATCGAGTAGTAGATAATCCTGGCCATCTACTTGGGTTTCCTTTTCAAATCCATTAACATCGATGTTTCCTTTGCCCCAATGCCCCGCCTAGTGAGGACACATCGCTAGATTCTAGATGGCAAATGGCGAACCATCCTTCATCGTGAGCAGGTTGCTTGACTGAATTCATACGCTCCTATCCTATCCATAACCAGCGCTGAACCATCAACCTGTGGAAAATCTTTGCAAACTGATTGTGGGGTTCAGAGACATGCAAACCATAGCCGTATGTGTCTCTGTGGGGTCAAGCCAGCCTGGAGCGTGTCTACATAATTCTACATCTATCAGGAGTTCTTGCACCCCCTGGAAGATACAGCAGGGAGGCAGGTCGGGTCTAGACCAATGTCAAGACTTGTCATCTCCCGTGGTCCTTCGAAAGGTCACCGGTGTATCATTGGTCGCCTCGACCTCTGCCGGCCCAATTTATGTTCTTTTCAGAACTTACAAAGATGCTTGTCGGCAGTACTGGGCAGCAGGGCCACAACTCGTTCACTCCAGGGACTTCAGCTGAGCTTCGCCACCGAGGTGCCCGTGGCTTTCCTCGGGACCGACGGCAGATCGGCATATTCCCCCGAAAGCAGTGTTGGGCATCTAATTCATGGTCACTCTAAGAAGTCGAGTGAATAGAGTGTATACTACAATGGATACCTCGAAAAATAACACTGACATCTTCCCAAGCTCCTGTGAGTGGCGATGCTCTTTGATGTAAGAACGGATGATGTATGTTCGAAACTTGTCCTAGACACTGGAAGAAAAACACAACAACCCAAAGAGTGTGTCACAAGAAAAACAACAATATTATACAAATTGATACAATATGTATATATAGGCAGGACAAAAAGTTGGTGACAAGCCAAGCCGGACCAAGCCTGTAAATACATGACCTACTGGAATTCCGGCGGATGAATTTCCACCCCAAAGTACATGTAGATCTAGTAACTTAGTTCGGGGTGCAAATGAATCCGCCGGATTTTCATTGGGAAAAATAGTCATGTCAGTCAGTGAGATTCTCGAGTGCAATTGTTACCAAACCTTTTTTCTCCTGAAGTACCAGTATTATTATTATGTATTAATTCTAGTTAATTCTATGACTTGTGTATAATTTGTGCACTCTTCAATCGTGTAAATCTCGTCCTGTCCTCCGAAAAAGAATCAAACGACCAAGTCTCGGGCGGTGCTGAATTTTGGGGTCAAAAAGAAAGACCAAAGCCAAATATCCCGTGGGGGAAGTCTGGTAAGTCTCATGATTGTTTATATTATTTTCATATTCTGTCTATGTGAACATGGATGAGTCGGCTTCCCTGTCGAAGCATTCCATGATGAATCATTCACCACAATACCAGTTGCCATGTGCCCTGTCGGAGGGACCGAGGCTCTTCTCAGCTTTCGCTCCGCCCTTCTTCGCCAGATGAGCCTTGACCTTCATCTTCTTCTCTTCCGGCATGTCTGGGCAGGTCGCACGGGACGTGAGCACTCGGGTCGGCCGGTGAGACGGGGAAACGACCTCGTCCATCGGCTGATGAGGCTGACGATGCAAACACACCTATATGACGTTGGCACATGACGTTCAGCGAGTGATGGCATGTCAAGTTGATGTGAACTGGCGGAGCAAGAGGCATCGAGAGCGGAGAGCGGTACATCGGGCTGAAGTCCAATGGCCATCCGCCAAGAATCTCGAAACATTTCGCACCGGATGTCAGAATACGAATACCAAACACATCACCTCTGAAAGGATCATCGATATGAATCGTGAGAGAACAAGCACGTGTATGATCATTCACCGGGAGTTTTCCCTTTTGCCCGGCCACATCACTAAACAGGAGGTTTACCTCATGCCAAGTCTCTATCCATGGCTTTCTGCAAATCCTCGTCAGTGACATTCTTTGCCTTGGCGTGGCCAGACTGGGACAGGCCAGGGCCCAAAACACTGTGACCGACCGAATGCCGGACCTCTCCGTGTGACTGACCAGCTGATCTGCGATCTCATTGGGGACGGTGAATCAATAGAGGTGGGTCGAGGGCATCTTCGATTCAATTAGCTCTTCCACTTTGCATGAGATGGTAATGACACGTGGATACATGGGGTCTATCCTCCTATTACCAGGGCCCAGTGGATGATGATGGTTCAGTTGCAGGTCTTGTTCATGTTTACTAATTGTTTACAGGTCCTGTTACAGGTTTAAGCTCGGACAGACCCAGTGGATACATTCCTGGTGATGACATCCATTTCGCCCAATGCACCACTTCAGCAGCATCGGCAGAAGCACCGGCTCCCATGGCTTCGAATAGAGTAGAAGCGCTGGTGTGACACAAACTCAGGGCTAGTCTTCGAGCAGCTGGAGCGCATGGAGAGTTTTCCCTCAGTATGCCATTCTGCATGCCATGAAATTATTCATGGATCTTTATAGATACAGCTCACACAAGACAATTGCTCATCTAGGACTTGCGGATCCAGCGGTGGCCCCCGCCTTCCCCAGACCACTACTCCTGGGTTCTCAAACTGTGAAATAGATTTGCGCCTCTTCTCATCGAATCGCCAGCCAATCTTCATATCGATCCCTGAAAGCTATGAAAACGACGTCTCAGTGAGAGGGAGTGAACTGGCTGTGCCAACAAGATCTGTAAACTGTACCTCTGCACGGAGGCCTTGGAACATGAAAACATCCAGGGGATGTTAAAATGACTCGTCTCCTAGGAAAGGGTATCGGTCTCAGGGGTGTTGACTAACGTTCGAAGCTGCCAATACTCTACCATCTGTGCAAAACGTTTGTTCGGGAGGCCTTTGTTTTTATTGGGTCTGGCAGGTCGTCCAATTTCTAAAACTCCCACAAACCAGACGGAACCCGTGCAATGGCACTTGCAACCATGCACAAAACCTCTGACTCGATGGACCCTTGGGCGCTTCTCAAAACCAGCAAAACAAGCCTCAAGCTGTCAACCCCCAATGAAACTACATGTTCATAGAAGAACAATAGAGTAGAGTGTGTATACATATATTTTGCTATTGCAAAACTATAAACAATGCAACCATAATGCATGTACACATTTGTCATGTTGTTTCCATGATTTTTTGGCATTAGATATACTACTATACATAACAATCTCATCGACCCATGTTGGTATCCATCAACCCCCCACGCCCCGAGAGCAGACCATGCACCTTGACGAATGGATGGACCGAGAACTTTCTTCAAGTCCAAAGTCCTTCCAATGGACAATGGATGATTCCGACTCAGTCTACCAATAGTCTCATTCTGATTCGCATGTCCTACCGTGGAAAAAAAAAAAACTGAAGGCCCGACTCCTTGCGTGGAAACAGCGGGCACCCAAAAAACAAACCGAAAGGCATAAAGGGCTGGCACTGAAACACAACTCATAAATCAAAAGAAAGACAACATGAGTGTGTACAAATATAATATATGCATACAGCATACAGTA